CATTCCTGCATTCATACAGGGGCTTGGATGAAATGACCCTTGAGAGCCCTTCCAGTCCTGTAGTCCCATGATTCTGTAAGACTCATCCAGAACTGCTAAGCAGAGGATGAGAAGAGGTAACAGCCTCTAACGGAGCCCAAATGGCGTTGTCTGCTCCGGAAAAATCCTACATCCTGAAAGCAGGCAGCAGAGCGACGGAGACACAGTACAGATGATGAAAGCAAGGAAAGCAAGAGAAAGAGATTGAATTAGGGGGACAGGGAAAAGCAAGTATAAAGAGAAAGCAGCTATTATCAGATGCCAGCCTGGGAAAGGAAATATGATATCTCATTTCCCTTGCGTTTTCTTTCTCATTTACTTTCTCCCCTCCCTCCCGCTCACCCTTTTCTCTGTCCCTTTCTGTCTCCACATTCCAGACAGCAAATGCACTGAAGAGAAAGGCCCCTTTCTTGTTTCTCCATTCTGGTTCCTATTAGGGAGGTTGTCATTGCAGTGAAGAGCAGAAGGCTGGGATCTGGCGAGATGCCTAAAGGAGTTGAGCACTTTTAATGTTTGATGTGCTGAACTCTTCTAGGACTGTAGGAAAATCCCAGCCTATAATGCATCAATCCTAGGAGAGTTAAGCAGCACATCAGACATTAAAAGTGCTCAGCTCCTCCTAGCAGAGGCACCAGAGCTTCCAATTGCCCTGAAGCCTTTTGAGGGTCCTGCCAAAGAATCCAAAATAATGATCGCTGCAGCTGGTGGCTTTTTTTGGTTCCAGGAATCGGAGCCAGCTGCGGGCTTTCACCAGTTGATCCCATGGAGCTGTATCCTTAATAGCTGCAGGGGCAGACTCTAGATAAGATGTCTGTGTCAAACAGCAGAAGATGCCACAGATGGAAACAGGCAACTGTTGTGAACCAGGACCCTTTCTAAGGGGCCCCTTGTAAATTTATCCTCCATAACAGATGAGCTCCCTGTAGTAGTATGATCATGGGCATGAGCCTTGGGCAGTGCCTGGAGGTGGAGCACGGGAATGAAGCTAGGGGTTGCCTCCCCCCCACTCACGAAACCTGGGTCCCATCCCCTGCTGCTTTCCTGCAGTGTTTAAATAGATTCTTAATACATATCAATTGGAAAAAAAAAGGAGGTGACATCTTCCCCCAGCAGCAGCACACCTCCCAGCCACTGCACATGCATCATGTGCCACTGCTGCCGGATGCATGGCACTGGCCAGGCAGTTGTGCCTATGGCTGCAAGCACTTGGTCTAAACAGAGCACTGTGGGAACCAGCAGGCTCTGAAAGGGCTTCAATGGCAGGAAGGTGAGCTCTGCTGGAAGTGTCCTTTGCTTTTTTCTGAGCCTTTGCACATTATTTTTGTGCCCTTAAGAGAAAGCAAACAGACCTAAATGTACTGGTTGGCTAAGTCCGCCTCTTGTCTGTGAAGGGAATATCATTCTGGTGTATTATAATCCACAGCAGCTGATAGCAGAACAAGGCCGGGTTTCAATAGAAGCCTGGGATGGTGTATGAGGCGGGAGGCCTCAGAGCTTCCTTGAAGGAAAGTGTCCACC